TCGTATTTCTTTGCTCAGTAAACTGTACTCATTCTGCAAATCTCAATTTAAATGCTCTTGTCAAAGAGTCATTTTTATGACTACTTAATCTTGGACACGTTCTTTATTTCTCATAGGCCCTTGGTTTTCTGCAGTCATAGCACATTTAATACTTGGATGCATAGAAAGATATCTCTCTTTACTCCATATTTCTGTTTATTTGCAGACTGAAACCTGCTTCAGAAAAGAACATGACTATCTAGCTTCTAGTTAGCCTCTCATTGCATATCCCAGGACTACACACTGAACAGGACAGGGGTGGTGTAAGCAAATGCTGAATCTAATAAGTATACTCCTGCTTGAGAAAATATGAACACATGTAAACCTAGAGATACGATAAAATTATTTCATTGTATAACTTACTTGTACCTTGAATATGGGACAGGGTATTTTTCAGAAAATCTAAATGCAGCTTATGAAAATATAATTTTGCAAGACTGAAGATCTTTTGGACTTTTTTCCCTCCTAAATTAGGGAAAATACAGCCTTATCGATAGAATTATTCCTCCAAAGCTGCCATCCTTTGTTTTAAAATAAGAAAACATTGCGTGAGCATAATGTCTTTCATCCTGAAAGCCATCACAAGTATTAATTAATCCACAAAACGACATCTGGTTCCAAAAGGTAGAATCTGTGACTTAAGTTTTATCTGAGAAAGCCTGCTTTGCCCTCAAGCCGTGATGACTTCCCAAGCTCTGTCCTCAAAAATCTTTCCAGCTCAGAAGGAAGCAGATGATTCTGTGAAACCTGCCACAGGCTTTTGACTCCTGTAGGGTTATCTGTAGTCATGCCTTATGCTCCTTTGACAAAATAAAGGAGATAAAGATTCACCATGCTATAAATAGAATTCTTTTTTTTGAATATTTTTTTATGGGCAAAAATGAAAAATGTCCTGAAAAAATTGGTTCTCAAAAATACAACAGTTGTCTTGGGCAATATATAAGACTATGAAACAGATGCATATTATTTTACTTGATGTTTCACTTTTAAAGTTGTTGCTGTGTCCTAATACTTGCTGAGCAGTCACTGTAACTCTAAGAAAGTGACTCACTTAAAGCCTACGGATATATAGACCACGTGGCATAAACAACATCATCTGTCAGGGTACCAAGTAGTTTCTACTAGGAGATTCTAAATCTCCAATGAGGAACTGTGGGGACCAATATTAAAAAATATCATTATTTGATCACAATGTCCATCACAACCAACTTAATAAAGACAATGATAAGAGATGAAGCATGGCTTCCAAAGGAGATTTGAATCTATGAAACTTAACGCCCAGGTTTCTTATGATTCCTGAAAAATGTTCAGGAGACTTCTCTGAATAAAACAGATATATAAAGTGAAATTTATATACAGAGGAACATTTTGGAAATGAATAAGTTGGAGGGTACATTTGGTAAGTAGAATGAATAATAATAATTAAATAATAACTTCAAAGTAAAAGATTTTTTTCAATTTTTTGAAAGGGTTTTAGTGTATATTTTCCATTCATGATAGCCTGTGTTCATAGATACCGTGAAGAGGAACTACTAAGCTGGTGGGTGATTCTGGAAGTAACACTGAGGCCTGGAGGAAGTTGGGAGGGCTGAAAAGAGGGGAGTGACCACCACGACAGACTGCCAGGAGAAGGTTAGGTTAGTCAGATGTAAAGAAAACACTCTGCCTTCTGGAAAATAATTTAGGTCTTCATCAATAGAAACGCATAGCTTCAATTCATCAGATTTGTTTCAGGCAAATGTATATTTTTTGACATTGCTTATTTGTATAGATAATTCATCAATAAGAGTTTTGCACAAAAATGACATTTCTGTCCTTAATATTGCATAAGAAAATTAATTCAAGGAAAGGTGTAGAGGTGAAAGTTGAGTGTTACAAGTATTTATAAGACACAACAAAATAATTAAGTACTCACAGAAACAATATATGTATGCGTGTGCAAGTGTGATAAAGAAAAGCAGAAAGAGGAGAGAGAAAGAAATACACAGTTCCGAACATAAAGAGATTTAGAGAGATTACAAAGTGAAAGCCTTAAAATGATTTGTTTTGCACCCACTGCTCAGAGCTTACTATTGTGACCTTTCCAAGGCTATCTGGATAAAGTATTGAACACACAGATATACGATATACTCATGTATTGTCCACACGCTGGATATGAAAGTGACTTTCAAAAATTTATTTACAACTGATACTAGAGTTACTACATATTAGTGAATAAAACTAACAATCTTATAAAAATTAAAAAAAAACTATTTCTGAATATCTTAACAGTTTCACTACAATTAGCCTATGTTTGACACACAAGCATCTCTATTACATTAGGATTGCATAATGGTTATTGATTAAATATGAATAAGAACCATAACTTGGAACTGTAAAAATTAATAGATATTTTCATGGTAAAAAATTGGGACACCGTAAGGCCCTATTCAATATGATTGCATATGATAGTAGGTATATATAAACATAAATGTATATAATTATGTTCACCTAACTCCATTTTCACTCTAACTTCATGTTTCATGAAATATTTCAGAGAAAACATTTCATGTTCTAATTTTATAAGGTATAGGTCTTTATAATTATTTCATGTATTTTGTTTCCTTTGTAATTCACACTTTATAAAAATTTAATAAACTATTATTTTATTCACTGGACAACTCCAGTTTATCAGGTTTTATACTACCTCTTACTAATAAAATAGTGAATAAGACACACCCCTCTCTTCATACAGCTGATAGTTAGGTAAGAGTAAAAGAAAAAGAAAAAAGCAATTTTAGTATGATGTAGTTTGGAAAGAAGCAAATCAAGCTGCTATTTAGAGGCAGATCAAAGAATGGCTACTTAATTTGAATTTGAGGGTCAGAGAATTTCCCATAGAAATGCATAATTAATTTTCAAAACAAGATATTATTATATCTAACTGCAATAATTAAAATTGGTCTTCACTATGAATAGCAGCCATATATTTGTTATTTTCCATCAACAGTATTATTTTATAAGCAATCAATATTGTATTATTACATGAATTGACAGACATGTCTTTCCCGAAAAAACCACTATAGTTATGAAAGCCTTATGAGTGGAAATATGATATAATAAAGAAAATAGAAGTCATAGACTCTAACTTAAAGTCTGCTACCCATGAAATTAGACTGAACAACATAAATCAGTAGAGGAGCATGTGTGGGCTAAAGGAAACATAACTATTTTAGAAAATCCAAACTCCCTCAAGGGGAGAGCCACAAATTAATCATATTATTCCTGGCTTGAGAGTGTGTATCTAAGAGTAAATAATAAACAACATAAATCAGGGACCATAAGAGAGGTCTGTAGATTTGCTGCTATGGTAAACTGGAAAGCTATTGAAGGTTTTGACAAGAGAAATGAAATAAGGAAGGATGGCTTAGGGATGTTGGTCTGGGATCCCTGCCCACTGTCATGAGAAGGACATGGTAGAGTGTGAGGGTGAGGTAGGAAGCGTGTGGCGGCCTGGACATGTGGCTTAAGGGGTCCATTGACACCATGTGCCCTGAGGAGAAGTGCTCCAGAAAATGAGGATATAAAAGGTCACTGAAAAAAAAGAAGATGGATCCAAAGAAAATGTATTCCAAGCCTAGAAAGAATGTTTGCTAGTGAAAGAGATGGACTCAATTAAAAAAATATAGAGATTTGGCAATGAGCTACTTATGGGTTCTGTGGAGGCACTGACAAAGAAACCTTGGAAGAAATGACCAATTAGTGCTTGAATACAGACAATAAAACAAAAGAAAATATCCAGTTACAGTTCTATTCATTGTTACAAGCTTACGATTGAAGATGAAAGCCACTGATATTTCACTGACAAACTCATTTCACATGTTTATGAGGTTTTTATCATGTTCTAGCAATCATTAGAATCAGGAGAATGAATAATTAATCTAGAAGACAATGTCTCCATCCTTACAGAACTAACAATCTAATGGGATAACAAACAAACAAAGGGAAATCGTATGTATGCCACACCATGCATGGTGGTAGAGTGTTTATGGAAAACTTAGTAAGAAAGCCATGCGGATGGAAATGATATTTGTTTTAGTTTAAAGGAGATTAGGGAAGACTTACTTTAAGAAGTGCCACTAGAACAAAGCTGTGAAGCAAATGAAGAAAGGGAACCAAATAAATTACACTGCAACAGAAAGACAAAAAAATGCAAACGGAATAGCCCAGCAGTAGAAGTGAGACATCAACTACTTAGAGAAGAATGAGCCAGGAGAAAAAAGGAAGAGGTGAGCTCCGAGAGGTAGCTAAAGCCTGTAATACACGGGAGAAGCCAGGGAGGATTTTTGTCATGGAGAGACACCATGGACTCAAAGTCTGTGTCCCCCTCAAAGTTCATAGGCTGGAATTTTAACCACCAATGAGGGTGAGTCGGGAGATGTTACCTTTAGGAATTAATCTGGTCATAAGTGTAGGGGATAGAAGCCTTTACTGAGGGACCCCACGAAGGTCTCTCACTCTCTTCATGCCATGTTGAGGACACAATGAGAACGTGGCGATCTGCATCCAGGAAGAGAACCTCATCAAGCTTGATTATTTTGATACTCTGATCTAGGGCTTCCAGACTGCAGACTAGTAGAAACAAATGTTTGCTGTTTATATAGCACCCAGTCAAGGGCCCTTTGCCATAACAGCCTAAATGGACATAACAGCCTCTGGGCAACATCCTAGAAGCAGTGAACGCTGGTATAAATGAGGTAAGTGAGCTCGAGAGCTCACACCTTCCAATGAGACCAAAGTATCCAGGCTGACACTTTGATTGCAATCTTTGAGTAGGACACTGCTACATTATGCCCAGATTCCTGATGGAGGAAACACGAGGTATTGGAAGTGTATGCCATTTCAAGTTGCCAAATGTTGGGGTTGTTTCTTTCACAGTAGTAGATCAGAGAATCTAGTTCTGGAGTTACTGCATCACTCACCAGTTGTTCCAGTGGAGGAATAATGTCCTTCAAGACATGCTGTGAATGATTCCTTCTGTGTCGAGATATCTGCAAACACACAGAAAGATGATACTGTTACATTATTTTTCTCTCTAAAAACTGTAAGCTACTTAAAAGGGATAATTAAATTGACATGCACGTGAAAATTATCATTGATTCATTCAAGAAAGTGAATAAAAGTAGGTAAAAATGAGGGGTGTTTTAGATGATTATTTGAATAAAACTTACTAAGAGTACTGGCTATGACTCCTCACATCCCTACTTTTCTGATCACAGCATAGCTCTCATTAAGTGGTGATATCTGTGTTCTTGCATTTTGGATATGGCCACACCTTCATATCAGCATCAACCAAAATATTCCCTAGAAGTGCTATTGTGTGATCCAAAGCTCAGACATGAAAATGTTATGCCTTTCCCTCTTGGAATTCTCAAATTGGAAAATATTTGCATGTTGTAAGGAAACACAAATACTCCGCACAGGGTGGCCACAAAACGTCTTACAGGTTTTCTGGCTGATAGACAAGCTGAAGTTCTACCAGTCATCATCAACCACCAATCTTGTAAGTATAACAACTTCCTGATGATTTCTTCATCCAGGCAGTGGTCAATCTCAGTTTTCTGTCTTTTCAGGAGACTTCTCAAACATCATGGAGTAGAAACAAGCTGTTACTATTGTACTCTATATGACTTTCTTTTACCAGATTCTAAGGATAATAAAATCATAGCTTTTTACCTTTTATATTTCAGAGCAACTTAAAATGCAGTAATAGAAACTGGACCCAAATATTTCATATTGGAACATGTTTATAAACTGAGCTTAGCTTTTTCCCTATTGATGTTCTATTACTTTTGATATCTTTCCCTATTATGGAGTTGTAATGAAATATACTCCATCACATGATTGTCTTGTAACATAAAAGGAATCTTAGTGTTCTTTCTCCTAAAGCAGCATCACGAACAAATTCTATCATACTCAAAAAAGAGAAAGAGAAAGAACTTAGTATTAAATCTTATAACTTAAAGGTTACCATTAATAATACAAATAATACTATTTCATGGTTGACATCAAGGAGAGAAGTGGAGGAAAGAGGAAAGGAAGGAAAGGAGAGAGGAGGAGAAGAGGGAGGAGAGCCAAGAGAATGACAAAATGAAAGTGACAGAGGGGCAGAAAGACATACAGAGAAGCAGAGAGAAGGAATTAAAAGAACCTAAAGCAGGCCTGGGTACTATATGTAGATAAGTAGAATGTTGTCTTTGGCTATTGTTACTGGCAAAATATAACTATCTGAAGGAATCAGATCAATGTCTATGAAGAATTGAAGGACATTGCATCAGCAAAGAAGACCAGAATCCTGGCCTGAACAAACACATTACACTGTAGAACTTCAGAGTTCCATGTCTGCCCCACAAAACTGGTTATGAATATAACCCAAGTCTGAGGCTATGATTTAATGCGCCGTCTACTTCACAGTTGGCCTGGAAAGGAAAATCCAAAGACCCTCCAGAGAGCAGAGCCAGAAGCCCTAAAGAATAAGGGTCAAGGGAAGTTCTTCTGGGAAGAAGACAGAGATTGTCTGTTTCCAGACCAGGGGTTTCAAAAGGCCTGACCAACGGGGTTTAATCATTGTTTTGTTCCAATAATTGTTGGCTGTTTACCATTTTGCTTCTTAGTTATGAGTGAATATTTTTGATTGTATCTCTTTTCCAGTTATTGAGTTGTTGCTCCATCATTTTCTATTAGAAGTGGGACAAAGGGACAGTGGTAAAGTATAACAGAGAAGTTGTATTTCAAATTCTAAATCAGTTAACCCATGAAAGCATCCCAAATCCTATGGAAAGAGCTATTTATCACCAGACAGTCTAGAAACAGAGCTTCATGCAATAACTGGACAGAATGTTTCAATGTCTCCTTGAGCGGGTGAACAGATGTAGTTCTAAGTGTCGGAAGTCAGGTACAAAATGATAAAGGGTAAAGGGGAGGGAAGACTTTATACTTTTTCCTGGGCATATATTTATACTACCTTCCCTCAGCCTACCTTGAACTTTGATGTGATCATTTGACTAGTTCAGACCAGCAGGTATGTGAGCAAAAGCAATGGAGTTATAGTAGCTAAAGCTACTAAAACCAGGGAATGCTTTGGATCCTCTCTTTCTTGGTACACTGGCTAGGAGTCAATATTGAGGCAGTCCTTACTGCAGGAGGAAGAACTTGGGGCCTGATATACCATGTGTAGAAAATCAAACCTACAAGTGGAAGGTTCAGCTTGTTTTCATTACTAAGCTTTTTACTTTGGAATAATTTTAGAGTTACAGAAAAATTGTAGAGAGAGTTCCTGTGGAAATTTCCTTCTGTTACATAAGTGAGAAATCCATTTCTATTTTTTTGTCATCCATATTTCAGAAAATTTTATAGCTGCTAGCTGCCTTAGTTACTTTTCTCCTTGCTGAGACAGAATATCTGATGCCCCAAATTAAAGGAAGAAAGGTTTATTTGATTCACAGTTTGTAGAGGTTTCAATACATTATTGGCTGGCTCTGAGGTAGGATGGCATGGCAGAGGGGAATCGCAGAGGAGAAATAGTTCCCAGAAGGTAAAAGGCAAAAGTCATCCTGGTAGCAAGGGACAATAGCAGCTTCTTTCTGTCTCTTTTGTTTATTATCTAGGCTACTTGGTTTAGAGCAGGTGCCAGTCAGTGGACTAATATAGTGATTACATACTCTTAATAATAGCACCCTTAATCCTAACATCACACTATGAAATAATCCCAGCATCACACACTCTAGATTCAGGCACTTCTGTAAAAACCCCACCTCTGACTTCATGAGGCTTTGGGGGAAATCTGGACACAAACTGTAACACTAGCATTACCCTAAAAAATGATAACTATAATTGATATTTAGTTGATGCTAAAAATGAATGGTCTTATGCATAAGAAAACTGAGAGCAAAACTAAATAATGAGATTCTAGAAACCCAAAATATTTGTAATCCCCTGTTATATCAGCTTCTTAGCAATGGAAGAATTATGTATTTGACACTAAATACTTTTATTTGTTTATTTATTTATTTTTGTTTTGTTTTTTTGGTTTCAGGTATCGAACTCTGGACCTTGTGCTTGCAAGGCAGGCAGTGGAACCACTGAGCTAAATCCCTGGCCCAACATTTAATCCTTTTAAAAACCAAGAAGTCATTTTATACTGCTTTACGTTTGGAAATCGCTACTCTTAAATATTCAATATAATAAGATCTATAACCTCTTACTGAGAATTTAGTATATATGTGTTATATTGAAATTTTATACTAATAAGGGTTGTGGAATTCTAGGATGGGAGGAGTTTTAAAATTTTATTTTATGGAACCTAAGTAGATTTCTAGTTTTGAGGTAAAAGTAGTTCTCCTGACATGTGATATACCTCATGCTTCACATGTTACAGAAAATGGTGTAAATATCTGTACGGTATGGATGAGTGGGCATGCAGCCATTCATCTAAGTCAGTCAGGCTCACCATTTCTTTTATGGCCAATTCCATAGCCTTTTATTATTATTATTATTATATCATTATTATTATATTTTATAGGCATAGTGGTTCATCATTCTCTAAGTATTACCTTCCATTTATCTGTAGAACCTTTCAAATTAAGTTGTATACATATTGTCAAGGATACAAAATATTATTTTAACTGGAGATTTTAAAAATTTGAATTATTACTTATAAAATCTTAAATTTTGGTAGAAAAAAATCACATCAAAGCCATTTGCTAATGATATGAATACACATTTTCTTTAAAATAGTTATTTTAGCTTAAATAATAGAAATTAAAAACTAATATCCTGCATAAAATATGGAAAAAACTCACATAGTATTTGAGTGCCTGAAGATTGCAATATAAGTTTTAATGAGAAGAAATCAGAAAAGAAAGGAGCATCTAATGAACACGTATTTATTCCTTCAAAGAGCCCACTGGGTCCATAATCTAAATAAGAATTCAAATTGAGAAATGATACAAATATATCGGTTAATATTTATTGAATTGAATTATTTATTGAATTGGTTACAAGGTACTGTTCTGTATTTTGCAATCATTAGCATATTTAATTATCACCCAAATCTTAAGAACTCAATAAAATACCCTGTTGTATAAGTATGGAATTACAAATGAAAACAGTCTAAATAATTTTAAAAATCTATAGCTAGGAAAAGGCCAGCCCCTATATACCCTCCCTCTAAGTCCTCAACCAGTCTACTTTAAAATTCATGGGAAACTACAAAACTGAGATGCCTCTGTGCAGAAAGAATATTTCTAAGTTGGAAATTTAAGAAGAATCAGACTCACAGATTTGTACACATTCATATGGGAAGACCGAAATCAGGTTCCAAATCTATTACGAATAATGTTAATATTCCTTCAGGGAAAGTAATATTACTGATCATTTCTAAATCAATAACCTAGCCAATATATCATGTTCAATGAAGTTATGAAGATGCTGAGAAAAGAGAACTTTCATCACTTTTCTTTTGCCCTAATGTTCTTTTCAGTAAAACCTTAGGTGAAGAAATATGTTACCACTCCAAATCAAATTATGCTGACTGAGATTAATGATTTGGGAAATTCTGAATTCAAAATGGCTTAATTGCCTCATATGGATATCAGGAAAAAATTAGGATATTGTAAATTGTCTTTTTTTTCCACTAAGTTTATTGGTACATTTTAGGTACATAAATTGTCTTTAAAAGATATACTTAATTAAAATAATAATAAGAAAAAAGACATGGTGTCAACTAAAATCTCATGAAGTAAGCATGAAGGGATAAAGACTCTTGTAAGACATATTACATATTACAAAAGACAGAAAATTTTAAGCTAGTCATATAAGAATCAATGCATTATTGTTATTAACTCATAATTTTACTGCTATAGAAGACCACAGAAAAGAAAATGGAGCTTAAAGTATTAGGTGTTCTTGTGTTTCATTCATATTTAATTAAAAACTATCTCATGCTTGGTACACTCATATGTCAGTAATTTATAATAGAAGATATTCAAAA